AATGCGAAATTTATGATAGTATAAATCATCTTTCAGGAGAAGAAAATTTATATTTTTTCTGATCATGAGAATTTTATGGGATTTTATGAAAATTTATTTACCAATTTAATTATGCTTGATGTTGTTTACTCTTTTTATTATTTCTCATATTTCCTGTGTACAATTTTTTTTTTGTTCTCTACAGGAGTATTCATGTTTCTCCCCATAAACTTTCATCCTACATAAAAAAATTCTTTTCTTTTCTTTTCATCAACAAATTTTCTTCTAGGTAAGATTATACAAGAAAAGAAATTTCTTGTATTTCTTAGCCTCTTCTTGATATCCTATGTGTGTGAAAAGAAACAGACATTCCTTATTATGTAGGCATCATGCTTTATTAGAATAAACTTTTTAATTATATCTATACATGTTAAAACGTCCAATTATGTAGGAATAAAGTTAGAAGAATTTCTTTCAAAAATTAAAATTTATAAGTGTAGGAAGATTCGGTTAAAGAATGAAGTTCAAAAGATCGATGGCCTGTAAATATGTTTTTTGAACAAATAATTGGAAATACAATAGAAAGTTTAATTGTTAAGAAAAAGTTTCAAAGTTTCAAACAATCGATTTTTTGTAAGTTAAACATGGAAAAGTTGAGATGATGTTTTCTTTGTTTCTAAAGAAGTTACGAAAATCGTCATGTTATGTATATTCGAAAATATATTTGGTCGCTTCTAAAATCGTATTTCGCCTTAAGAAAATTGGAGTAAATGATCTTACTTACTTACTTCGATGCAGAGCTCACAAATCACATTCTTTAATTAAAATTTATTATATTATATTGATCATTCACTCCAAAGAGGCTCCAATGGGCTGGTAATGTCATGAGAAAACCTGGGAAAGCTCCGAGTCAACTCGAGTCGACTTCGAGCTCTGATTCAATGACCTTACTTAGATCAATTGTGATCTATGGTCTCCCTCGAATGACGCCTAAAACTTGCTATCGCTGGCTCCCGCTTGCCAATTTCATATACATACCAAATGCTTTACTGTCTTTATCAACAGCCTCTTTTCATGACTTGTTTGTTATGTCACGTGCTCATTTGCCATCCACAAAGTCACACTTAAAGACCTTACTTAATGGAGCTTTCACAGGTTTTCTCATGACATTACCAGCCCATCGGAGCCTCTTTGGAGTGAATGATCAATATAATATAATAAATTTTAATTAAAGAATGTGATTTCTATCAAGGTTTGACAGAATGCATGACCTAAGAACTCTTAATCATATAAGGACTCGATAAGATAAGCAAAGGTCATATGCAGCCATTCTCATCTTAAGTAAAACCTCAACTGCTATACCTCTATTTTTTTTTCTTCTCATTTTAATTGCACTTTATTGCATTTATTGACGACATACTGTCCGGTAATAATTCACATTTTACACTTTTGTAATTGCATACATATGAATTAGTATTATGTAGGATCAAACTTCTAATCTTCATATCTAGGTTTCAAATAAACTAAGGCTCTCGTTTCGATCTTCTGTGGGCGTGACGTGATACGTTCTAACAATATTCCATTCGTGGGTAATCTTGTAGCTCTCGTTCCTATTTCTCCCGCTACACTTCAAGTTCCTGACCCGTTCCTTAATCCAACATTGCCCAAATGCCCAATTATGGCTTGATCTCGTACATTCGATAGTCGAAGTATTTTAACTTCCAAAAAAGAACAAATTTGGAAATGGCTGGATTAGAACCGATGACCTTCGAGTTACCATCCCAAATTTGAGCCAAGCGCCTTACCTATTCGACCAGCAAGGCACTTAACTGCTTCAAACTAAGTTTAGTGAATTTTTCTTTACATAATGTTTTAAAAATCAATTTCAAAAGACTTTTAAAATCATGAACCATAAAGACTTTTAAAAGGATGTATAAACAAAATCATGAAAGAAATTGTTTGACATTTAATCCCTAAAAGCAAAACCTTTCATAGCCTTTGGCTTTACTACACATCGTTATACACATTTTGTGATTCAGATTCTATCAATCTCACATAACCATGACGAAATAACATTCTAATATGACTGCAAAGAAGACTGTGTCCATATTGCAAATTAAATATTCATGAACTTCACATTACAACACCTTAGAAATATTTCCATTTGTTGACAATATCTATCCATTTTAGAGAATGACTATGAGAAACAAATTGTTGTGTGTACATTTTCTAAAGTGTTACAATGGCAAGCATGAAAATTGTAAAACTATTTCAACATGAAAGCTGAGAATGGAGAATTTAAATTGCGAAAATAAAATCTTTTTTCATTGTTCTAAGATGTTGGCAATTACAATAAAAATCAAATTTACAGGAAATGGTATTAGATTCAAATTGAATAGAACAAAAATATATAAAATAAAATTTAGATATTGTAATGTGCCTCATTCACAAAAACCATCTGCCATCTGGACGATATTCTATGTTTTCCAAATTTTTCTTCCTTTTAACAATTGGCGCTCTTCGCATTTGCTGTTTTCTGTTATTACAATCGTAACACAAATGCTGTAGGAAAATGGACAATAATAATTATTCACCCTTACAAGAAGAATGTTGCGCACCCACATTTTTATGATATTAATCGAAAAAATAGTAAACACACGACTGTGTACCATCGACATCATCAACAACTCATTGTAGTCACCCATTCATACCACACTTATTGATATTATGCCTCGAATACATATTTCACCTCCTCCTATAACGAGTCGTATTTTTAACGCACTATTGACATGATACTTATTAATTACGCTCCGAATAAATTTACATTATATACATATATATTTTTTCGTTAACGATAATGTGCACTTGTCACGTTATTTATGCATTCAGAAAATTGGCAAATAATAGCGTTGTGATTTTTACACATCATGTATTTTATGCTTGAGAAAATTTTAATTGAAAAACTTTTCCATTTTTTTTCATTTCATATTTCACTTAATTACATACCACTTTTTCATAGTTAATCAATTAGGCAGCAACTCTTTGAAATTGAATGAATGACATGAATTTTTTACAATCATGAAAAGTTATTCCTATCAGCATGTCTACTTTTCATCAATCAATTTAACTTCATATATTATTAATTTTCATTCCAATTTACTTCATTTCACTTTGCTCATCATTAATCTATCTGTGTGACTATAGCATGTTCAAATTCACTGAAAATGTAAAATGTTAAAACTTTAATTGGATTTTTGTCGTTTAAAAATTTTTTTAATTAATATTCGATTTTATCATGAATAAAAAATTTAAATTAACATTGCTTTCAAATTGAAAAAGTTTGTTCAATTGATGAATCCATCAAAGCTTGCATCAATATGACAAATATTGAGAAGAATAAATTGATAATAAAAAAATTGTTGACGTAATATTAACAGAGGTCGAAGCGAACTTGGTTCGCCAAGTTCGCTTCGCTAAAAATTCAACTTGCCAAAGTCGAACTGTAGCGAGAAAAAATTTTTTCTATTCGCCTTAGCGAACCATAGCGAACTCAATTTTATTTTTTTCGCTATAGCGAACTTAATTTTTCAAAGTTCGCTATAGCGAACTATTGGCGAACTATAATTTTTTGCAATTTTGTATGAAATTACATACTTCACAAACGCAATCAGACATCTCTTTACATGAAGCCAAAAAATTTTTTCTAGTTCGCCAATAGTTCGCTATAGCGAACTTTGAAAAATTAAGTTCGCTAATAGTTCGCTAAAGCGAAAAAAATAAAATTGAGTTCGCTATAGGTCGCTAAGGCGAAAAGAAAAAAAAAATTTCTCGCTACAGGTCGACTTTAGCAAGTTGAATTTTTAGCGAAGCGAACTCGCTAAAAACTCGCTTCGCTATGCTCGCTTCGACCTCTGAATATTAATCATGAAAATTTCTTTGATAATTGACATTTTAAAAATTTCACTCAATTGAGGTATTACGCGATTTTGAGAGCTTCAAACTTTTTCATTTAAAAATCATTCATTCATTTATGATTAGAATTAATAACAAAAAAAAATACAAAACTAGAATAGTAGCTACAAAATATAAGAAAAACAGGAAAAAAAGCAAACAATAAAACACTCTTAATATTTCCAAACCATCATAAACATCATAGAAAATGAAATATCTTCATTGTGTACAAGACTAAGCAGCGAAAATCAATTTTTCATATTTGCTCTAAAGAATGCATTGCACATTATTCATGATTTATCAGTGAAGGAAATTTATGTATTGTAAATAAAACTAAAAGCCTACATGAAGAAAATAAGCAAAATTATTACAATGTGAAATGAAAACTAGTAATGAAGCCGATCACGCTTCATGGGAATATTCACACAATCCTATAGAACTCTCTATGTACTGTTCAGAAAATATTGAAAGATCTTCTCTCAATAAAATGTAAAACTTAAACTAAACATTTTAGTGTATTATCAACAAAGTAAAAAATGCCTTAAAAACACGTTTTACAAAGAAAATCATGGTTCCAGTGTCGCAAAAAATACAATACTTAAAATTATAAATAAAAAAATACGACTTTTGAAGAAAGCCATTAACTCTCTGTTGTAGATCAGACTTAAACATAGGTTACAGTCTTGGATAGTTTTGCAACTTCCGCTTCGCTCCAGTTGCTACTCCGCAGTCAGTCTCTTATGTAGATCAGACTTCAAAATAGGTTACAGTAGGTTACAGTCTTCGATAGTTTTGCAACTTGTGTGCTCCGTTTCGTTCAACTGTTTATAGATTACAGTAGGCTCTTGTATAGGTTACAGGTGTAAAATAATGATCTCAGTAGTCTGAGAAAATAAAAAAAATCAGTTGAAAAACACGAACAAAAACATTAAGACGTGTTTCATTAAAAATTAAAAATAAAACAACAGGTGTGTTGAACTCAGATCTTATAGATTACAGTAGGTTTATAAATTACAGGTGTGTTGAACTTCAATATCAATATTTATTTTTAAATACTTTTAAGGTCATAGATGCAACCAAATTATCTAGATCGATCTGGATTTTTAAAAACGGGTAAAATTTTCACGCCTTCACTTCGCTTCGCTCCGTTCAGGTCGTAAAAATTTGTGAGCTTCGCTCAACCTAGTTTAGATTTATAGGTTACAGGTGTGTTGAACTCCACTCCGTTTCACTCCGTTTCGTTCAACTGTTTATAGATTACAGTAGGTTTATAGGTTACAGGTGTGATGAACTTCACTCTGTTTCACTCCGTTTCGTTCAACTGTTTATAGATTACAGTAGGTTTATAGGTTACAGGTGTGTTGAACTCCACTCCGTTTCACTCCGTTTCGTTCAACTGTTTATAGATTACAGTAGGTTTAAAGGTTACAGGTGTGTTGAACTCCACTCCGTTTCACTCCGTTTCGTTCAACTGTTTATAGATTACAGTAGGTTTATAGGTTACAGGTGTGTTGAACTTCACTCCGTTTCACTTCGTTTCGTTCAACTGTTTATAGATTACAGTAGGTTTATAGGTTACAGGTGTGTTGAACTCCACTCCGTTTCACTCCGTTTCGTTCAACTGTTTATAGATTACAGTAGGTTTATAGGTTACAGGTGTGTTGAACTCCACTCCGTTTCACTCCGTTTCGTTCAACTGTTTATAGATTACAGTAGGTTTATAGGTTACAGGTGTGTTGAACTCCACTCCGTTTCGTTCAACTGTTTATAGATTACAGAAGGTTTATAGGTTACAGGTGTAAAATATAATCTCAGTAGTCTGAGAAAATAAAAAAAATCAGTTGAAAAACACGAACAAAAACATTAAGACGTGTTTCATTAAAAATTAAAAATAAAACAACAGGTGTGTTGAACTCAGATCTTATAGATTACAGTAGGTTTATAAATTACAGGTGTGTTGAACTTCAATATCAATATTTATTTTTAAATACTTTTAAGGTCATAGATGCAACCAAATTATCTAGATCGATCTGGATTTTTAAAAACGGGTAAAATTTTCACGCCTTCACTTCGCTTCGCTCCGTTCAGGTCGTAAAAATTTGTGAGCTTCGCTCAACCTAGTTTAGATTTATAGGTTACAGGTGTGTTGAACTCCACTCCGTTTCACTCCGTTTCGTTCAACTGTTTATAGATTACAGTAGGTTTATAGGTTACAGGTGTGATGAACTTCACTCTGTTTCACTCCGTTTCGTTCAACTGTTTATAGATTACAGTAGGTTTATAGGTTACAGGTGTGTTGAACTCCACTCCGTTTCACTCCGTTTCGTTCAACTGTTTATAGATTACAGTAGGTTTAAAGGTTACAGGTGTGTTGAACTCCACTCCGTTTCACTCCGTTTCGTTCAACTGTTTATAGATTACAGTAGGTTTATAGGTTACAGGTGTGTTGAACTTCACTCCGTTTCACTTCGTTTCGTTCAACTGTTTATAGATTACAGTAGGTTTATAGGTTACAGGTGTGTTGAACTCCACTCCGTTTCACTCCGTTTCGTTCAACTGTTTATAGATTACAGTAGGTTTATAGGTTACAGGTGTGTTGAACTCCACTCCGTTTCACTCCGTTTCGTTCAACTGTTTATAGATTACAGTAGGTTTATAGGTTACAGGTGTGTTGAACTCCACTCCGTTTCGTTCAACTGTTTATAGATTACAGAAGGTTTATAGGTTACAGGTGTAAAATATAATCTCAGTAGTCTGAGAAAATAAAAAAAATCAGTTGAAAAACACGAACAAAAACATTAAGACGTGTTTCATTAAAAATTAAAAATAAAACAACAGGTGTGTTGAACTCAGATCTTATAGATTACAGTAGGTTTATAAATTACAGGTGTGTTGAACTTCAATATCAATATTTATTTTTAAATACTTTTAAGGTCATAGATGCAACCAAATTATCTAGATCGATCTGGATTTTTAAAAACGGGTAAAATTTTCACGCCTTCACTTCGCTTCGCTCCGTTCAGGTCGTAAAAATTTGTGAGCTTCGCTCAACCTAGTTTAGATTTATAGGTTACAGGTGTGTTGAACTCCACTCCGTTTCACTCCGTTTCGTTCAACTGTTTATAGATTACAGTAGGTTTATAGGTTACAGGTGTGATGAACTTCACTCTGTTTCACTCCGTTTCGTTCAACTGTTTATAGATTACAGTAGGTTTATAGGTTACAGGTGTGTTGAACTCCACTCCGTTTCACTCCGTTTCGTTCAACTGTTTATAGATTACAGTAGGTTTAAAGGTTACAGGTGTGTTGAACTCCACTCCGTTTCACTCCGTTTCGTTCAACTGTTTATAGATTACAGTAGGTTTATAGGTTACAGGTGTGTTGAACTTCACTCCGTTTCACTTCGTTTCGTTCAACTGTTTATAGATTACAGTAGGTTTATAGGTTACAGGTGTGTTGAACTCCACTCCGTTTCACTCCGTTTCGTTCAACTGTTTATAGATTACAGTAGGTTTATAGGTTACAGGTGTGTTGAACTCCACTCCGTTTCACTCCGTTTCGTTCAACTGTTTATAGATTACAGTAGGTTTATAGGTTACAGGTGTGTTGAACTCCACTCCGTTTCACTCCGTTTCGTTCAACTGTTTATAGATTACAGAAGGTTTATAGGTTACAGGTGTAAAATATAATCTCAGTAGTCTGAGAAAATAAAAAAAATCAGTTGAAAAACACGAACAAAAACATTAAGACGTGTTTCATTAAAAATTAAAAATAAAACAACAGGTGTGTTGAACTCAGATCTTATAGATTACAGTAGGTTTATAAATTACAGGTGTGTTGAACTTCAATATCAATATTTATTTTTAAATACTTTTAAGGTCATAGATGCAACCAAATTATCTAGATCGATCTGGATTTTTAAAAACGGGTAAAATTTTCACGCCTTCACTTCGCTTCGCTCCGTTCAGGTCGTAAAAATTTGTGAGCTTCGCTCAACCTAGTTTTGATTTATAGGTTACAGGTGTGTTGAACTCCACTCCGTTTCACTCCGTTTCGTTCAACTGTTTATAGATTACAGTAGGTTTATAGGTTACAGGTGTGATGAACTTCACTCTGTTTCACTCCGTTTCGTTCAACTGTTTATAGATTACAGTAGGTTTATAGGTTACAGGTGTGTTGAACTCCACTCCGTTTCACTCCGTTTCGTTCAACTGTTTATAGATTACAGTAGGTTTAAAGGTTACAGGTGTGTTGAACTCCACTCCGTTTCACTCCGTTTCGTTCAACTGTTTATAGATTACAGTAGGTTTATAGGTTACAGGTGTGTTGAACTTCACTCCGTTTCACTTCGTTTCGTTCAACTGTTTATAGATTACAGTAGGTTTATAGGTTACAGGTGTGTTGAACTCCACTCCGTTTCACTCCGTTTCGTTCAACTGTTTATAGATTACAGTAGGTTTATAGGTTACAGGTGTGTTGAACTCCACTCCGTTTCACTCCGTTTCGTTCAACTGTTTATAGATTACAGTAGGTTTATAGGTTACAGGTGTGTTGAACTCCACTCCGTTTCACTCCGTTTCGTTCAACTGTTTATAGATTACAGAAGGTTTATAGGTTACAGGTGTAAAATATAATCTCAGTAGTCTGAGAAAATAAAAAAAATCAGTTGAAAAACACGAACAAAAACATTAAGACGTGTTTCATTAAAAATTAAAAATAAAACAACAGGTGTGTTGAACTCAGATCTTATAGATTACAGTAGGTTTATAAATTACAGGTGTGTTGAACTTCAATATCAATATTTATTTTTAAATACTTTTAAGGTCATAGATGCAACCAAATTATCTAGATCGATCTGGATTTTTAAAAACGGGTAAAATTTTCACGCCTTCACTTCGCTTCGCTCCGTTCAGGTCGTAAAAATTTGTGAGCTTCGCTCAACCTAGTTTAGATTTATAGGTTACAGGTGTGTTGAACTCCACTCCGTTTCACTCCGTTTCGTTCAACTGTTTATAGATTACAGTAGGTTAATAGGTTACAGGTGTGTTGAACTCCACTCCGTTTCACTCCGTTTCGTTCAACTGTTTATAGATTACAGTAGGTTTAAAGGTTACAGGTGTGTTGAACTCCACTCCGTTTCGTTCAACTGTTTATAGATTACAGTAGGTTTATAAATTACAGGTGTGTTGAACTTCAATATCAATATTTATTTTTAAATACTTTTAAAGTCATAGATGCAACCAAATTATCTAGATCGATCTGGATTTTTAAAAACGGGTAAAATTTTCACGCCTTCACTTCGCTTCGCTCCGTTCAGGTCGTAAAAATTTGTGAGCTTCGCTCAACCTAGTTTAGATTTATAGGTTACAGGTGTGTTGAACTCCACTCCGTTTCGTTCAACTGTTTATAGATTACAGTAGGTTTATAGGTTACAGGTGTGTTGAACTCCACTCCGTTTCACTCCGTTTCGTTCAACTGTTTCTAGATTACAGAAGGTTTATAGGTTACAGATCGTACTGAATTTTTTTAAACTGGGTAAAATTTTCACGCCTTCACTTCGCTTCGCTCCGTTCAGGACGTAAAAATTTGTGAGCTTCGCTCAACCTAGTTTAGATTTATAGGTTACAGGTGTGTTGAACTCCACTCCGTTTCACTCCGTTTCGTTCAACTGTTTATAAGTTACAGTAGGTTTATAGGTTACAGGTGTGTTGAACTCCACTCCGTTTCACTCCGTTTCGTTCAACTGTTTATAGATTACAGTAGGTTTATAGGTTACAGGTGTGTTGAACTCCACTCCGTTTCACTCCGTTTCACTCCGTTTCGTTCAACTGTTTATAGATTACAGTAGGTTTAAAGGTTACAGGTGTGTTGAACTCCACTCCGTTTCACTCCGTTTCGTTCAACTGTTTATAGATTACAGTAGGTTTATAGGTTACAGGTGTGTTGAACTTCACTCCGTTTCACTTCGTTTCGTTCAACTGTTTATAGATTACAGTAGGTTTATAGGTTACAGGTGTGTTGAACTCCACTCCGTTTCACTCCGTTTCGTTCAACTGTTTATAGATTACAGTAGGTTTATAGGTTACAGGTGTGTTGAACTCCACTCCGTTTCACTCCGTTTCGTTCAACTGTTTATAGATTACAGTAGGTTTATAGGTTACAGGTGTGTTGAACTCCACTCCGTTTCACTCCGTTTCGTTCAACTGTTTATAGATTACAGAAGGTTTATAGGTTACAGGTGTAAAATATAATCTCAGTAGTCTGAGAAAATAAAAAAAATCAGTTGAAAAACACGAACAAAAACATTAAGACGTGTTTCATTAAAAATTAAAAATAAAACAACAGGTGTGTTGAACTCAGATCTTATAGATTACAGTAGGTTTATAAATTACAGGTGTGTTGAACTTCAATATCAATATTTATTTTTAAATACTTTTAAGGTCATAGATGCAACCAAATTATCTAGATCGATCTGGATTTTTAAAAACGGGTAAAATTTTCACGCCTTCACTTCGCTTCGCTCCGTTCAGGTCGTAAAAATTTGTGAGCTTCGCTCAACCTAGTTTAGATTTATAGGTTACAGGTGTGTTGAACTCCACTCCGTTTCACTCCGTTTCGTTCAACTGTTTATAGATTACAGTAGGTTTATAGGTTACAGGTGTGATGAACTTCACTCTGTTTCACTCCGTTTCGTTCAACTGTTTATAGATTACAGTAGGTTTATAGGTTACAGGTGTGTTGAACTCCACTCCGTTTCACTCCGTTTCGTTCAACTGTTTATAGATTACAGTAGGTTTAAAGGTTACAGGTGTGTTGAACTCCACTCCGTTTCACTCCGTTTCGTTCAACTGTTTATAGATTACAGTAGGTTTATAGGTTACAGGTGTGTTGAACTTCACTCCGTTTCACTTCGTTTCGTTCAACTGTTTATAGATTACAGTAGGTTTATAGGTTACAGGTGTGTTGAACTCCACTCCGTTTCACTCCGTTTCGTTCAACTGTTTATAGATTACAGTAGGTTTATAGGTTACAGGTGTGTTGAACTCCACTCCGTTTCACTCCGTTTCGTTCAACTGTTTATAGATTACAGTAGGTTTAAAGGTTACAGGTGTGTTGAACTCCACTCCGTTTCACTCCGTTTCGTTCAACTGTTTATAGATTACAGTAGGTTTATAAATTACAGGTGTGTTGAACTTCACTCCGTTTCACTTCGTTTCGTTCAACTGTTTATAGATTACAGTAGGTTTATAGGTTACAGGTGTGTTGAACTCCACTCCGTTTCACTCCGTTTCGTTCAACTGTTTATAGATTACAGTAGGTTTATAGGTTACAGGTGTGTTGAACTCCACTCCGTTTCACTCCGTTTCGTTCAACTGTTTATAGATTACAGAAGGTTTATAGGTTACAGGTGTAAAATATAATCTCAGTAGTCTGAGAAAATAAAAAAAATCAGTTGAAAAACACGAACAAAAACATTAAGACGTGTTTCATTAAAAATTAAAAATAAAACAACAGGTGTGTTGAACTCAGATCTTATAGATTACAGTAGGTTTATAAATTACAGGTGTGTTGAACTTCAATATCAATATTTATTTTTAAATACTTTTAAAGTCATAGATGCAACCAAATTATCTAAATCGATCTGGATTTTTAAAAACGGGTAAAATTTTCACGCCTTCACTTCGCTTCGCTCCGTTCAGGTCGTAAAAATTTGTGAGCTTCGCTCAACCTAGTTTAGATTTATAGGTTACAGGTGTGTTGAACTCCACTCCGTTTCGTTCAACTGTTTATAGATTACAGTAGGTTTATAGGTTACAGGTGTGTTGAACTCCACTCCGTTTCACTCCGTTTCGTTCAACTGTTTCTAGATTACAGAAGGTTTATAGGTTACAGATCGTACTGAATTTTTTTAAACTGGGTAAAATTTTCACGCCTTCACTTCGCTTCGCTCCGTTCAGGACGTAAAAATTTGTGAGCTTCGCTCAACCTAGTTTAGATTTATAGGTTACAGGTGTGTTGAACTCCACTCCGTTTCACTCCGTTTCGTTCAACTGTTTATAAGTTACAGTAGGTTTATAGGTTACAGGTGTGTTGAACTCCACTCCGTTTCACTCCGTTTCGTTCAACTGTTTATAGATTACAGTAGGTTTATAGGTTACAGGTGTGTTGAACTCCACTCCGTTTCACTCCGTTTCACTCCGTTTCGTTCAACTGTTTATAGATTACAGTAGGTTTATAGGTTACAGATCGTACTGGATTTCCAAATGTATCGACCAAGAATCCAAAATTAACCATGTTTACAACTCAGAACCAAAAGTATGTAAAATTTTAATTATTTTTGAAACTTGGAGCCAAGATCCAGTAAAGTTTTAATCATGTCTGAAACTTAAAATCAAGATCCAGTAAAGTTTTAAGCATGTCCGAAACTTAAAACCAAGATCCAGTAAAGTTTTAAGCATGTCTATAACTAAAAACCAAGATCCAGTAAAGTTTTAAGCATGTCTATAACTTAAAACCAAGATCCAGTAAAGTTTTAAGCATGTCTGAATCTTAAAACCAAGATCCAGTAAAGTTTTAAGCATGTCTGAAACTTAAAATCAAGATCCAGTAAAGTTTTAAGCATGTCTGAAACTTAAAATCAAGATCCAGTAAAGTTTTAAGCATGTCTGAAACTTAAAATCAAGATCCAGTAAAGTTTTAAGCATGTTCGAAACTTAAAACCAAGATCCAGTAAAGTTTAAAGCATGTCTGAAACTTAAAACCAAGATCCAGTAAAGTTTAAAGCATGTCTGAAACTTAAAACCAAGATCCAGTAAAGTTTTAATCATGTCTGAAACTTAAAATCAAGATCCAGTAAAGTTTTAATCATGTCTGAAACTTAAAACCAAGATCCAGTAAAGTTTTAAGCATGTCTGAAACTTAAAACCAAGATCCAGTAAAGTTTAAAGCATGTCTGAAACTTAAAACCAAGATCCAGTAAAGTTTAAAGCATGTCTGAAACTTAAAACCAAGATCCAGTAAAGTTTTAATCATGTCTGAAACTTAAAACCAAGATCCAGTAAAGTTTTAAGCATGTTTGAAACTTAAAACCAAGATCCAGTAAAGTTTTAATCATGTCTGAAACTTAAAATCAAGATCCAGTAAAGTTTTAATCATGTCTGAAACTTAAAACCAAGATCCAGTAAAGTTTTAAGCATGTCTGAAACTTAAAACCAAGATCCAGTAAAGTTTAAAGCATGTCTGAAACTTAAAACCAAGATCCAGTAAAGTTTAAAGCATGTCTGAAACTTAAAACCAAGATCCAGTAAAGTTTTAATCATGTCTGAAACTTAAAACCAAGATCCAGTAAAGTTTTAAGCATGTTTGAAACTTAAAACCAAGATCCAGTCAAGTTTTAAGCATGTCTGAAACTTAAAACCAAGATCCAGTAAAGTTTAAAGCATGTCTGAAACTTAAAACCAAGATCCAGTAAAGTTTAAAGCATGTCTGAAACTTAAAACCAAGATCCAGTAAAGTTTTAATCATGTGTGAAACTTAAAACCAAGATCCAGTAAAGTTTTAAGCATGTCTGAAACTTAAAACCAAGATCCAGTAAAGTTTAAATCATGTCTGAAACTTAAAACCAAGATCCAGTCAAGTTTTAAGCATGTCTGAAACTTAAAATCAAGATCCAGTAAAGTTTTAATCATGTCTGAAACTTAAAATCAAGATCCAGTAAAGTTTTAATCATGTCTGAAACTTAAAACCAAGATCCAGTCAAGTTTTAAGCATGTCTGAAACTTAAAACCAAGATCCAGTAAAGTTTAAAGCATGTCTGAAACTTAAAACCAAGATCCAGTAAAGTTTAAAGCATGTCTGAAACTTAAAACCAAGATCCAGTAAAGTTTAAAGCATGTCTGAAACTTAAAACCAAGATCCAGTAAAGTTTTAATCATGTCTGAAACTTAAAACCAAGATCCAGTAAAGTTTTAAGCATGTTTGAAACTTAAAACCAAGATCCAGTAAAGTTTTAATCATGTCTGAAACTTAAAATCAAGATCCAGTAAAGTTTTAAGCATGTCCGAAACTTAAAACCAAGATCCAGTAAAGTTTTAAGCATGTCTATAACTAAAAACCAAGATCCAGTAAAGTTTTAAGCATGTCTATAACTTAAAACCAAGATCCAGTAAAGTTTTAAGCATGTCTGAATCTTAAAACCAAGATCCAGTAAAGTTTTAAGCATGTCTGAAACTTAAAACCAAGATCCAGTAAAGTTTTAAGCATGTCTGAAACTTAAAACCAAGATCCAGTAAAGTTTTAAGCATGTCTGAAACTTAAAATCAAGATCCAATAAAGTTTTAAGCATGTCTTAACTTAAAACCAAGATCCAGTAAAGTTTTAAGCATGTCTGAAACTTAAAACCAAGATCCAGTAAAGTTTTAAGCATGTCTGAAACTTAAAATCAAGATCCAGTAAAGTTTTAAGCATGTCTGAAACTTAAAATCAAGATCCAGTAAAGTTTGAGAAAAAGTACAAGTGGGCTTTGACAATTTCAATTTGAATTTTTTTTATAATTAAGAAATAAGAAAAAGATCTAAGTAGGCTTTGACAATTACAATTTCAATGAATTTTATAATTAAGATAAGAAAAAGTTCGTAGTGAACTTTGAAAATTTGTTGAAAGTGAAAAATCATTGTGGAAAATTAATTCAATCATTTAACAAGTATTTAACACACTTTCACAGACATTGTGAAAGTAAAATTGAAATTGTGCTGTCGTTGGAAATAAGATCCAGTAAGTATAAGCCTGTTTGAAACAAAAACAAAATAATCGAGTAGGAAAAAAATTAAGAATTAAACAAAAAAAAAAATATTTTCATTATGATACAAATAAAGTTTGTATTTAATAACATAGATACAGTATGCTGAATCTTGTAAAGGAACTTGCTAGTTCCAACATTTTTTCACATACATTTAACTTAATGCATACTGTCACAACCATTTTATTAATATCACACTAATACCAACAAATATTTCCGTTGTAAACAAAAAATAAATATGTTATGTAATAATCGGTTAAACTTTTCCCATACAAATATGTTTATGCATCTTGTGCCTCACTGGAAGCATCTTATGACTCCAAAAACAATACAGTTCTTGCGGTAGCCTTTATCTATCAGAAGCAAAAAACCGGAAGTCTTAATATTAAGTTTGAAGCGAGTTATCGCACCGATTAACTAACTAACTAACAGAATGCCCTTTTTTGCGAGTTTTTGGAACTGGAACTGCCAAATGAAAAATTGTTTTCACCATTAGATAGGTATTTCGAGGCACAAACTTTTACATATCAGGTATTTGGGTTGATTTCGTAAGCCTGAAGCAGAAAGTTAAAAAAACTGATTTTCCGAAAAACCAAAAACAATATATTCACAAAAATTGAAAATTTTGTGTGAATATGATAGAATGAATGCCGTGCATAAAGCATTTCTTTCTTCCATCAGCATCACCTCGCTAAAGATGGAAAAATCTTCCACATAAACATCGCATTTCAACATTTCTCAACGATAATAACTACAAACATGAAAAATGATCTGTCACAAATGGAAGAAAAAATTCTTTCGACGCTTTTTGCATACGAAAACCAATTTTACCTCGATTTGCTTTTTATTACAATATTTTTGCTAACGTTTCCTCACACCAACGATGAATGAACAGTCATAGCAGAGACTTGAAAAAATAAAATTTGCATTCCATTTGAGTCCATTTCTCTCACTCTTTTACCATAAAGTTGAAGTAGATGGCAACACAAGTAATCTATTCCGACAAATTAATAACTTAAAGTAGTTTTTGACCCCAAAACTTTTTTTATTTTATTTTATTCCACGTTTGCTTTTGTTCTTGGTTCTTCTCCCTTTACGTGTATACTTTACTCACACATTTTTCCTGTTTTTATTGCTGAGGTGTGTTTCCTAACTTTCTCAAACTTCCCCACATTTTTTTTACTTTTTTTCGGTTAATGGCAGTTGGTTTGGATAGAGTTTGAATTTTATATAATATCAACACTATCAGAAAATTACATTTACAACATTTAAGAGTACTCAAATCTTAGAAGCTCCCAGTATTTCCAGTTCGGCATGAAAAACTACTCGTTTCTATGCTATCTGGGACTGAGAAGAAAATTTTTAACGATTTGATTTTTATCTCTATAAAATGCCGTTGAGGCAAAAGGTATTCACATTAATTATTGAATAATGTTGGTTGCTTTTCCTTTTTCTATCGGGATGTGAGGTCTAAAGTTTGTTCCTTCAATAGTACTTCATACTTTGACATCCTTAGTGCGAAAAAGGCTACCGAAAAAGAGCTTGTAAAGTAGGAAGGCCCACAACCTTTTTTATATTCTTTCTTCTCTTTCATTCTATCGTGATAAAATTTGCATAGCAATTATTAAAAGATTAAAGATCTACGTGCAAAAGCTTCCGTCGAAGGTTTCAATTTGTTTGTGTCAAAAGGTAATGCGACAACAGCCACGGTAGTAGCATAGGACGATTATTAAATGACAAGGAAAAAATGAAGTAAAAATTTCACCGATGATGCCTTCGAAATGCCTTGGTATGGAAGTGAATAAAACGAATGGAATGTTTAATTAAACAAATTACGGCATCCGGAAGAGGGTCAAAAATATTTTTGTTCTCACTTTTGCCTCTTTCGTCATTCGTTCGTGAGTGAAATTTATGAGTTGCTACATTCATAAATTTCTTTTCCTCATTCTTTCCTTTTTTTAAGTCACTTTCTTCTCGTCCATAATTTGTACATGCATACACACTGAAAATTACGGGGATAACGTGCTGGCATTTGACATTGAGAATTAAGATGAAAATGGATACAGACAATCAAAAGAAAACTTTTTTCGAGTAGATGAAGTTGAAATTAGGTGGATTAATGGAAAAGTAGTTCAGGTGTTATATTTGGCTCAATTTAAGCACTCCTGAAAATTATAGATATGTCTTTTAAAAATGAATAGCATAGGGATTCAGCTAGCAAGATATCCTTAAAATGTTTATGATAACTACATGTGATATCAAAAAGGAAAAAGTCCTGACTAAAGAACTACAAATTTATATTGAAAGTAAAAACTTTATAACAGTGATAAATCCAGAACACAAAATTTATAAGGCGCTCAGCAAAAACCTTCCTAAACGCTTTTGACTTCAAGTAAAGAATGACTGGATCTAAACTCCTACATTGAATAAAATATGTCACGATAAATGCTGACAGCAAGCAAATGGAATTACATAAAACTTTTATACACAATAATTGTTTTGATAGTTTTACTTTGTTAAGGCTTTTTTTCTATTTAAAAAGTATCCATATGTAGCGCATGTAGGACAAATGTTTACTAATTAAATATGAAAACGTACACGTACTGATAATGTGCGGAGTAGAACTGCAACAATTGAAAGTCGAAAATGTGATAGTAATGTTTATGTTCTCATAGTTGATCCAAAAAGTTCATTAAAAATATCTTCATAGCATTCGTTTTATATTTTTGCGAATGCAAATACTTGCCTAGCTTTTTCATAATTCTTGCACATACATATTGTCACTACAGATTTCAATTTAAAT